CCAGATTCCCCAATTGACAACTGTCTTTAAAGTCTTGAAGCCAATTGTTGGAAAAAAAATATGCTTCTCTATAAGCCCATTCAACCCTTTTTTATTCCCGTGAAAATGTATATATGTATTCAAACTTTTATATCGGAAGAAAAAAAAAAACACTTGCTGTGGACTTAAACTTGACATTCTGATATATAGTAAACGTTTTAATTATTATGACAAAATGGCTTGCATTTTGCCTGAAATTTGTCTTGAATATTCATTCATCGAACAGGTTCGGGTTGAAATAAAATGTAACTGATCAAAAATCTACATGACCATATCCACGGCCAATGGGTCAGGAACAGCTTGAATTATGAAACACAGTCCACAATGCTTTTTAATAGAGAGGTGTCTGTTATACACCGAATTTACAGTGAACACACTTTACTGACTGTTGGATTCATTTGAAAACAGTTCTGTTAATTTTGATGCCCTTACATCAAAGTGAATTTTATCACTAAAAGTATCAGATACAAGTTTATAATTTGATTTTGTATTCTAGTCTCTCATTGGTTGATTTCCAAAAAGGAACGCAAATTATTATTTATAATCTGGTTGGGTATGGGGACACACCCACTTAACAACCAGCTGAATCATCTGTATCTGTGCATTCGCCTCACTTCCAGTCCTTGGGATTCAAGGAAAATTACAGATTTGATAAATGTACTTTTAACTTCAAAGAGTAGCTCGATATAACCTCATGTAAACAAACATCATGGCTGCTAGGTCTACGTATCCGTTATTACCTCCCCTCGTTTCCAATCATTTCCGGTACCACGGTTGTATTTTTGAGCGGCAAATCTGAACATATAAAAAGCAACACAATTTTACAGCCTTTTAAATTAAATTATAAGAAATTACTCGAATTATTTGCCAAATTATTCGAGTATAACCTGGTTTGGGTCAGTTTACGATTTTTTTTATAATCCGCTAAAAAAGCCTGGTAATATCGAATAATTTGGCCAAGAATTTAAATCATTCTTTAAGTAAACTGTAGCTAGTACTAAACAATTTGATCTTATTGCTAACTGTATCTATTGTAATCAGGAATATCAGCAATTGATTAACAAGTTAACGAACAGGTACTTCTTTTCTTTAATTTTATGTAGCACAACTGACGTTCAGTATTTAATTAACAATTTCACACATGGTCATTTATTTTATTCATATAGAATGTCCTAAATGGACTCATGGAGATTTTTGTGAGAAGAGGTGTGAATGCAACAAGACTACCAGTGCATCTTGTGACGAGGACACTGGGAAATGTTCTTGTAATCCGGGGTACTTCGGCGACTTATGTAATTGTATCACTGGTGTCCACACATGCAATTCAAAAATATCAATCTGCCACACGAACAGCTCGGGTAATGCCATCTGTCTTTGCAAGCCTGGATTTTCAGAGGACGAGTACAAAAATGAAAAATGTCTAAGTAGGAGCCTGTTTTGTTGACCAGATATTTTAATCAATAGAATATTGAAGATTATGATTGTGAAATATTTATAAGGCACTGTACACTTACGTATTCAGCATGTATTTGTTGTATTTAAACAGAGGAACAGGTAAGGTTGGTCAACCGAACTTCCTCCAATGAAGGCGTGGTTGAAATATATCGATCTGGATCTTGGGGAGGAGTTTGTAAAAACAGAATGACTAAAAAAGATGTCCAAGTTGTGTGTCGAGAGTTTGGTTTGCCTTGGTATGCTTTCATTTATTTTATATGTGTTTTTTTTTGTCAAAAAAGATATCTCTAAAAAATTACCAAAAACAATAATAATTCAGGCCTACCTAGGTATGCACAATAGTTTACAAGAAACATTATCACTGAGGAATAAACAAAGTCTCAAGAGGTCATTTAGATCATTTAAGTCTATCAATTCTTTCTTTTGAATTTAAATTAGAAACAAATTGTGGGTTTTTTTTGTTATGAATTAAGATAATCAAAATCATATATGCTTTCGATTTAATCTTCATCTAACCTTTCAAGAGTGTGTCCAAAAGAATTCACTTTGATTGGTTTATGTTCATGTTTCAGGAATGGTGCTCAGTTACTTAGAAATATAGACACTGTACCAAGTTCCTACTTCAAATGGTCTAATATCAATTGCAATGGAACAGAACAAAGTCTTCTAGATTGTGACAGAGATTATGACAGCAGCACATACTGTTATAACCGTCGTCCAGCAACAATAGCATGTCCCAGTAGTAATTATCACCTATTATATAACAGACATTCACATATAGCATCGCTTTCCTTAGTGGACAGTCGTCACCCCCCTTCCCTTCCCCCAATTTTTTTTAATTGACTATAATTTATGTTTAATTAATACAGAAATAAAATTGTAATTTCGGTTTAAAATCTAGTTTGTACTTTGGTTTTTTACGGAACGATGGCGTATAAAAATATATCCTTTTCTGCTTCTTAAAATAAGTGTTTTTTAAAACTTGTCAACAGTCAAAGTCTTTCACATCTAATGCAAATTCATTATCCATAACAGTAGTCTAAAGTTTTTAAAATATTACTCAGTTTGTGAAACCTATGAGAACTTAGTTCATCTGAAACCTAGCTGAGATAAAGATCGATATTCAATTATTTATGCTAAAGGGAGAGCAAAAATTATTTTTTTCCTTGCTCAATGCAAGTTGTTTAAATCTCATAATCAGCTATGATAAGACAACCACCGAGGTTCGTGGGATGTTTTTTCTTCTCGTTTTCTTTTTGGGTGAATTAGTCTTGCAAAAGAAAAATAAAATTTTGCTGTGATTTTGGCTTTTTAAACTATGGACAATGACAGGCATGTTTCTTTCTCTCGACTTTTTATAACACTAGCACCATGGATACGGCTGGTATCGAGACAAACAACTAATTCAGAGACAAGTGGAATTCTACAAGTGTATCACAACAAAGAATGGGGTTATGTTTGTGAAAGTGGATTTGGTGAGGATGATGCTAAAGTTGCCTGTCGTGAACTAGGATTGCCAACGTAAGAGATTTTACACTTGTATTTTGTTTCAATATATTCTTTTTAAAAAATGTTGAAAGGATATTTCTAAAATGATAAAAACGTTGAAAAAAGAAAGTTTTCATTGCAAAAATTATATTATTTAAATTTTAAAATAATACTAAGGTAAATAAAAGGTAAAAATATATTTTAACCTACAAATAGTAAATAAAATAAAGTACATTATTCAAATTATAACTTTTTCAATTGTTGAGCAATCAGACGTGTGAATGACTGATATTAAAATTTATTAGGTTTGAGCAAAGTTGTTTTTGTTAATTTCAGTATATTTGAATACTTTTCCTTTAAAACAGGAAATACGTGCAAGAAAAATCTGGAAGTACATCTTATGGTTCTTATGGTTCCAAAACGCACCTGAAATATGTCAATTGTAATGGTGATGAGGAAACACTGTCCGATTGCTCTGCTGACAATGGGAGCTATTGTTATGGGTATACCAGGGTTAAAATCTTGTGTGATAGTGGTAAGACACCATTTAACAATTAGTTCATAAATAACTATGGTAGAAAGAAATCTTATTTGATAACTCGAAAATCTCGACATTCCTTCTGTCGGTTAAAAATTAATTGTTAATATAGTTTGATCGCAAAACGGATTCTTTCTTAAACAATTACAAACATGGAACTCTTGATATTGATGAAAGTGGTCTTTTAAAAAATGAATTTCCTTTTTTTTTTTTTGCTACATCCATTTATTTTAGAGTGAGCTTTCATTGTTGTCATAAACTTTTCACATTTTTATCTTCTTCTCAAGAACCACGGGGCCAATTTCAACCAAACTTGCCACAAAGTATCCTTAGGTAAAGGGTATTCAAGTTTATTCAAATGAAGGGCCAAGCCCTCTTCCAAGGGGAGATTATTATGAATTAATGAGAAATTAATGGCATTTTTAAAAGACCTATAGAAACAAGAGAGATGAAACTCATGTTGAATCATCCTCAGGTAGTGTACTATTACTTTTGTTCAGATCATGACCCTAGGGGGTAGCAGTGGGCCACAATCACTGATCAAAGTTTTAGGAATATATAGGGAAATCTTTAAAAATTTGTTTCTCAAGTACTGCAAAGCCATGATTAGTGATATTTTTATGGAAGAATCCTCAGGCATTGCAGATTCTAGTTTGTTCAAATCATAACCCCCAGAGATAGTGTGGGGCCACAATGGGGGATCCAAATTTTACATTAAAATATATTTTAAAAATCGTCTTCTAAAGAATAGCAAAGCCATGATTAGGGATATTTATATGGAAGCATCCTCAGGTAGTGTAGAATAAACTGTGCTCAAATCATAACCTCCTAGGGTAAGGAAAAGTCTCAATGGTGGATCAAAGTTTTACATAGGAAAATATTACATTAAAGGAAAAAATCCCAATAACAGAAAAGCTATGGTTAAGCATATTTAAACGTAAGCATCCTCATGTATTGAAGATTTGAATTTGTTCAAATCATGAGTACCCTTTGGGTAGGAACGGAAATAACGTTGAGTCAAAGTCAAATTATTACAAAGTAATATATACAAACAAAATGTTTCAAAAGAACTTTCTCAAGAAGTTATGTGCAGTATTGATATGGAGGCATTCTCAAGTAGTATTAGAATTCAATCCCCCTCCCCCATCCCCTCAGTTGACTTTTCAATTGTGATCTAATTTGTGCTTTTTCTCAGCCGATGTGCTCAGGTGATCAATGTGGCCCTCGGGCCTCTTGTTATTGACTAATACTCGAAATCACTCCACTGTCATCAATCAAAAGAGAGAGTGTGGTTTTGGTTGTTCCTGTGAAGTACTACATTTCACTAAATATTTTTATGACATACTGGAATAAGAAAAATGAAAACAAGGGTCATTGATGGAACCTAAAGTTACCCATGACATACTATTCAATCATATACCAAAAAGGATTTATTTTAGGTATTATATAGTTAAGACAACACCGACGTTTTTGACAGCCTTGTAAAACTCGATCATTATCATTTTATGTTTAAAGGAAAATTTTATATGAAATGAAGCTTCTTTCAAAAATGAAACCATTTTGCCCAGAAATTGTTTTACTTAAATTTTCGCAAAAGTAAACCGTATCAGTTACTTTATAAATCCTTTATTTTATTATTTTTTTAATGTGATACAATTTCATAGAACGTTTTTTTTAAAAAAAAAAGTCACGTTTTCAAGGTCATTTTTTTTTCTCATTTTCTATATATTTTTTGACCTAATTTATAATTGTTCAAGAAAGTAAATGTTTTCAGAATGCCCTCACATGAAATATGGTGACAATTGTGAAGAAGACTGCCCGTGTAACAGCTATAATACTGAATCCTGCGATATGGAGACTGGAGAATGTGTATGTAAGCAGGGGTATACCGGGTTCTCCTGCAACTGCCAAGTTGGTCTTCATTCCTGCAACTTAAACGTTTCGGATTGCTATGAAGATTCGAATGAAGTATCATGCATTTGCCAAAAAAATTTTACGCAATTGGAGCACAATTGCACAGGTAAGTTAAATGTTTTTCTTCTTAAATAAGAAATATATATTCAGATATGTTCTTTAAAAGTATTGCAATCTACGGATATAACCTTGATAAGTTTGGAAACATTTTATCCATTTTTGTTTCTTAAATTTAACTTCTAATTTTCATGCTCATCTTTGTGTCATTAGTATTTTACATATTTACAACTAAATTCATTATGGGTTATAAAAAATACAAAAACTGCGGGTAATAATGTTTAGAATTTTCTTTCTTGACATTTGAAAGACGTAAATAATGGTTCAAAAATTAAAGTGCATGTAAAACACTGTAAACTGTAAATCTTATTTGTTTTTGTTACAGACAATGTGCGCTTAAGTCAGGATAATTTTGTGCAAGTCTTCAAAGATGATGGATGGTCTGGTATCTGTAATAACAATCTGAAGTCTAACGCTTTAGTTATCTGCCGCCATCTTAACCGTAGCACGTACGTATCGCGGAGTTTTCAAGATCCCTCTTTCACTTTTATTTACTTTTTACATACAGTGATTAACATGATTAATGAAGGACAAATAACTTGTAAATACACAAATTAAAATTATATCATCACCAAAAATGTGTAAATGCCCTGTACGGGCAGTTTCACTTGAATGGAAGTAAAGCAGGCCTGATGAACAGAAAGAACATTCGCGAGCGCCCGCCAACATTCCTTCTAATACCTCCCATAGAAATCATCGCGAGCACTCGTTCCATTGAACAGAGACCTGAATTGTCAACAGTAAGGATGTCGGGGACTACTGCTTGTGAAGATAGTTACATGCTTTTGCATATGAGAAATTTTGACTTACGGGTTTATTGTTTGATTAATAAGGCTGTTCCGTTTATTTCGTTAGTAATTCGGAAATGAAAATATTTACGAAATTGAGCTAATTGAGTTATCTAAAAAATAATTGAAAATTGGCCTCAATTATAAATTTTCGCTAAACTTCAAAATTAATACATTTTTAATTATACGTTTATTAATTTGTATTGTATTTTTACTTTTATATGATTTTTTTTACTTCTCTGCATGATGTTTGAAATTCAAAACAAATTTTATTTGTGTGTATTTTAATGCTTAAAGAAACAGGATACCTATGCATTTTTTTTTAAAAATTTATTGATATGATTTTTCCATAAAAAAAAAATTTTTCCCCCCAAAAAAAACAAATGTGTGAATTTAAGAAAAAGCAGTTTTATGTTTTATAATTAATGTTAGAGTTATCTCTCTTGTGTAGTGCGGATAAGAACTGTAATTAGCACTGTTCGTGCGGATAACGAAATTTAAAAGTTTTTGCCGATTTGAGACACTTCCTAGTAATTCGACCTTTATCAGTTTATAATTATCAAAATAATGATAATAAAATGAGTATTTTATACACGTATTTATTTATATACAATTTCCAGTTACCTGGCATTATGCAGAACTACAATGTTATATATTGGTCTTAAAGGCAGAGACTTTTTACCGGGTGGTAAATTCCAGGTGAGGGAGGGGCTTATTTTGTACAGGTGTGAATGCCTTGGGGGCTAGCAGTCTACCTGTGGTCATCTGTCTCCTAATCCCTATACACAGGAAGTGATTTAATACACAGAGTAATATCCAGATGTCAAACTTGACCTGTGATGAGGATTTTGAGACAATTTTAAAATTAGTAGTAAAATGGATTTTCAATAATTTTCATATTGATTTATTTTTGACTGTTTGAAATCACCCATACCCATTTGAAAAATTAGTATGATATCACACTATAAACACTATAAATTCAAATAATAAAACAAAGATTTTAACAAAGATTTTAACAAAGATATTAATGTATGTGTTAATAATAATAATAAAAGAACAACTCCTGTAACAACCTAATTAAACCTAATTAATTCATTCTCAGGATCCCATCTATTAATTGAATGAAAAAAGAACCGTGTTTACTATATATACATATCACGAAAAAAAAAATCTAGGTTTATCCTTATTCCTAACCTTAATAAGGCTTTGTCACCATGAAACATGCTAAAAAAATTGCTTGTAAATTCTTAAAATATCTTTTAAAAAAAGGAAAATATTAGTGACCCATTATTAGAATAATTATTTTTAACTTTAATTCCTTTACATAGTGCTGCTCTGAACTTTATCAATACCATTTCCACTTTAGGTTAACCATTAGCATACTTATTTAAATTAATATCGAAATTTCATGGAAATAAAAAGTTTTATGTACCAAAGGTTAAATTAATTTTTTTTTAATGCATATTATATTATAATTCAATTAAATACTAAAGATATATTTAATTCATATGTTATCAGTCAACAAATTTTCATAGTAATACAGTTTCTGTACACCATGTTCAATAAACATCAAAGGATCATAAGTTAATTAGAAGGTCACCACGAGTCCTATAAACAAGGTGGACAGGGTATACACAGGGACCAGTAAGTAAATGTCAATCAAGTTCCAGCATCCAATGATGGACATTCTTGAACTTGATTGACAGGGCTACCCAGACCAGGTATTTTTGAAGGCGGTGCTTAAAATCTCTGCCTTTAATAGACTAGAGGGTCAAACATTTTGACAAATGTTAGTGATAATCTCAAGCAATTATTTTAGTTGCCGAAGATCTAGTATATAATGAACACATCTTATCTTTTAATGGAAAATGCTATTCTTTCAGGGAATTTGTATATTCAACTTCAAAGTATAGAAGATATGACTATACGAGGACGTCGGTCAGTTGTAGAGGAACAGAGGACATGCTGTCGGAATGTCCATCTAGAACGGGTTCCTATTGCTCCTACTCTCCAGTCGTCCACTGTGGCGGTCAGTCTCCGATTCTATGTCCGATGCATTTCGAAGTCCTTTTTTGCTCAGCCAAGATCTTGTATCATTTAGATAGACTTTAAAGCTTAATAAGTGTTTCTGATTATTTTTTATTTCCTCTTTGAAGAAAGATCTTTATAAGCTCACCTGGGCTGAAAGCTCAAGTGAGCATTTCCAATCACATTTTGTCCGTGGTCCGTCTGTCAAGCTGTTTGTGTAGCTGTTTGTCTGTCTGTCCGTCTGTAAACTTTTAACATTTTCGACTTTTTCTCACGAACCACTGGGCCAATTTCTACCAAACTTGCCACAAAGCATCCTTGGATAAAGGACATTCAATTTTCACGCCCAAATTTAAGGGGAGATAATTGGAAATTAGTGAAAATTTGGTCGCATGTTTAAAAAAATCTTCTTCTCAAGAACCACTGTGCCTGGAACGATGAAACTTATGGGGAATCATCCTTAGGTAGTGTAAATTCAAATTTGTTCAAATCATGACCCCCAGGAGTAGGGCGAGGCCACAAGGGAGGATCAAAATTTTACTTAGAAATATATAGGAAAAAATCTTTAAAAATCTTCTTCTCAAGAACAGTAAAACCATGATTAGTTGTACATATATGGAAGCATCCTTAGGTAGTGTAGATTCAAGTTTGTTCAAATCATGACCCCCGAGGGTAGGACAGGGCCACAAGGGACAATCAAAGATTTACATAGAAATATATAGGAAAAATCTTTTAAAATCTTCTCAAGAACAGCAAAGCCATGATTGGTCATATCTAAATGAAAACATCCTCAGGTAGTGTAGATTCAAGTTTGTTCAAATCATGACCCCTGGTCATCTTCTTCTCTAGAACAGCAAAGCCATGATTGATCCTATTACAATGAAGTATTCTCAGGTACTGTATATTATTTTTGTTCTAATCGTCACAGTCGGGGGGGGGGGCAGACTTCAAGGGTAAAAAAAAATATTTAGTTAAAGAAATATGCAGGCATCTTTGTTAGCGTAGATTCAAGTATTCAAATTTGTTCAAAGCTCCATTAGCCACAGTGCTCAGGTGAGCGATGTGGCCGATGGGTATCTTGTTGAAAAGGGAATATTGTTTTCCTGCAAATCAGGTAGAATAGGAAATTTTCTAAATATTCATATATATTTCCTGCCCGAAGATTTGTTTATGGTATTTTATTATCTAGAACTCAAAAATTTATTTTCCTCATTGCGACACATTCAAGTTTTTGTTCATTTTTCTTTTATTTTCATAATTTTTGTATCGAAGAGATGAAATATAATTAATTTGAATGAAAATATGCGACGTGTGTTCCATTTTCATATCACAATATATTAAGTATCAAGAGTTAAAGCAACAAAAATGCTTATCATACATGTATTACAAACATGCATGTACATTATTTCTAGTACTGCATACAGAGTAATTTTTGCCCCGTGTTAGTTTTGCCCTTTAACACTTGCAAACAATTTTGCCCCATTTTATATTCGCCCATTCGCGGTTTCATTTTTAGAAATTATACTGTTTTCTTTAAAGTTACTTCTTCTTCTTCTTCTAAAGAAGCACTGAGCCAGAAAAACTTATATTGGAGCATCCTGGGGTAGTGTAGATTCTAAATTGTTCAAACAATGACCCCAGGGGGTAGGGCGGGGCCACAATGGTGAATCAAATTTTTACATAGAAATATATAGGAAAAATCTTTGAGAATCTTCTTCTCAAGAACCACTGGACCAGAGAAACTGAAACTTACGTGGAAGCTTCCTGTGATAGTGTAGATTTCAAATTGTCTAAATTATGATCAGTGGGATAGGATGGGGTCAAAATGAATGTGACAATATGTATTACAAGGGGGAAATCTGGTAAAGAACAGGATGGTCAAAGCTTCTCAGGTGAGCGATGTGACCCATTGGCCTCTTGTTATATGCCCGGATCGATAGATCTGGGGCTTATATTGTTTTTTTCCTGTCTGTCTATCTGTCTGTCTGTTTGTCACCAAACTTGAACCTTCTCCATAATTTTGATCCATGAAAGATAGAGGCCTCATATTTAGTATGCACACTCCACTTGTTATGCTCTCTCAAACGACACTAAGGTCAATGGTCTTGTGACCTTGACTGTGACCTACATGCTAAAAATACATTTTTTGCGAACTTTAACCCTCGCCATAACTTTTGAACCATGAAAGATAGAGACTTAATATTTAGTATGCGTACGCCACTAATTAACTAACTTAGCAAATAACGTCAAGGTCATTGGCCTTGTAATCTTTACTGTGACGTATGTGCTAAAAATAGCTTTTTTGTACCTTCGCCATAATTTTTTAACAATAAGAGATAGAGACTTCATATTCGGTATGCATACTCCACAAATCAGGTTCTTTTAAATGACACCAAAGCCAATGACCTTGTGACCTTGACTGTGACCAATCTGCTAAAAATAGCTTTTTATGGACTGTGTTGCCACAGGGTGCATAGTGTTTCACAAACACATCTTGTTCTAAAGAGTGAATTGGTGATGAATATTTGATACATGTAAATCCCTAACTACAGTTCACCATGTTTATCATGTTTAATTTCAGAATGCCCAGAATGGAGATTTTCATCAGATTGTTCCGAGACATGTGATTGTGACAGGGACACGAGTACAGGATGTGATTTCAGGGACGGAACCTGTTCTTGTAGTGACGGTTTTAAAGGGGAGGACTGTAGTTGTCATGTGTCTACAGCTCCTTGCTCGGGATCGTCCTCTAAATGTAAACATGACAGGTGTATCTGCAAAGAAGGATTCTTTAATCAGTCAGCGTCTTGTTTAGGTAATTAGATTTATATGTTGAGATTGAAAAGTAAAGTAATTAAAGTCAACACATTACAAGTCACGTATATTAAACTTCTTGCCCATCTTTAAAACATTTTGACGAATGAATGTCATGAAACATACGGAGATAACGAAAAGTACTCAATATCAAAAGTCCATAAAACAATACAAAACAGGAGCTGAGCAAACAAGGACCTATAAAACATCAGGGATGGGATCAGATGCCAGGGAGGAGTGAGCATCCCCTGCTTACCGGTCACACCCGCCGTGTGCTCCTTGTCATGATCGGAAAATAACTGAAAAATCCGTGGTCAATTCTGTGTTTGAATAATTGAATAACAATTAGTATGAAAAACATCAGTGGTTGAGTGACAGCGCCAGCATTAGGTCAGACTAGTTGAATTGAATTTTGATATTCTGGTGAGAAAATATTATGCTCGATGATAAATTGCATTTGCTGACATGGTCATTGTATTGACCATAAAACGTATGAACTGAATTTTGAAAGTAATATGTATTAATCTTTCATTTTTTTCTGTTCCATGTATATGATAGTCGTCTGAATTTTTTTCAATAGTAGTTACCAAGAAAATATTATGCAACTATCTTCCAACATTGTCAATTTTTTACAAGTATCCGGTAAATTATATTATTTTCCACACAAAAATAGCTAGGAAATTAAAAAAAAATGCTATTTCGTTGCTATAATTTTTCAACAAGTAGTTTGTTTCTGATTGGTGGTGTTTAAGGAATAACTTTGCTGTATTCATTTAATATTTCATGAAGCGATAATTCTTTTCATGATAAATATGCCGGCGTGAAGCGTTGTAGTTCATGTACCTCATGAATCTTCAAAAATTAAATTCATTTCTTATATTTACATTCTTTCCTGATGAGTTACTACAAATAACGCCATTCAACTGTTATTTTTAAAGCAAAACTGTTTGCACTATAGTTTTGATATCAAGTGCGGTATTGTGACGTAGCAATGGAGATATTCATGCTCATCCATGGTAGTTCCTGAGAAAATGAACACAATTCTAATTTGTCAGGAATGTTAAAACAAATCAATGGAAATATAAAAATACTAGAATAAATTGGGAAAAAAATTTGATATTCTGATGATTGAAAAGGCCATCAAGTTTTTGATATAGGTGCTTGTATTTTTCCCCTCCTTAAATTGATATTGAATTCTAAAATGCAGTTGACAGGAAAGAGAACATACCTGTGACTTTGCAGTGATTTACGAGGACTCTTCAATAAATAATGTTCCCGGTGATCGGAAAGAAACAAAACAAAAAAAGACTTGTTTCAATGATTTAGTCTCAGTATTATCCTTTAATCAAAATACATACCCGTAACATTTTTTATCAAGTTTCTGATTGATTTTTAGAACACATTTTTGAGTATGGCCCTTTGCATACTGGAATATGGCAGATCCTATGATTTCCTGGACTTGTTTCTTTTCTCTGAAAGGTGAAAAATCTTGCAAAACATGAACTCTTATCTCCAAAATTCCTATACTCTTCATGGTGTGTGGGTTTGGATGCTGTCATGAAGAAATTTAATGTAATGGATTCCTGATTCTGGTTAAATCCTCTCATAAACCTTTCGATGCTTTCTGCACTTCTTCAGGAATTGAACTGCCTCTCCGAATAAGAATTAAAACAAAACAAAAAAAAAGAAGAAAATAGCACATAAAACTCTTTTTAAGATTTTTCAGTTCTTTGCTTTCCTCAGACCTTGGCTTTTTGTCAAGTGCACCGTACTGTAAATTTCTTTAGAGGTTTAAAGCAATGGATTCAAGATTCTTTATCTGTTTAAATTACAGACAAACGTTGAAAAGTACAAATTTTGATGTTTTAGACTAATTGTTTAGGTCTTCTTACACGTTGTTGTTTTCACTCATTTTCAAAACAATGGTGACCATTGAGTACTTTGATTTTTTTTACTGAAAAATGTTTCTTTAAAACAGCGTAAGCTACTCCCAAAATGATGCATATCAATTTTCCTATGTGTCGTAAAGTCAATCAAACATTGTCAGTGATAATTTGTTGAATTTTGGCAAACAGTTAATTGGTTGTTGTAAGTCCTTGTCACTAAGGACGGTAACGATTTTATCATTTTTGTTCGTTGACACCCACCTGCTCATGTGTTTATAAAACAGACACTTGTTGCTGTAAATTTCACATATTTCAGGGAAAATTTCTTTGGGATTCTTAACGACTTTTACAGCAGCTTTTATAAAGTGTCTTATGTCACTCTAATTAACTAATTCTTTTCCAATCATTTATAATGCAGTGTTTCGAATAGCCCTTGTTTTCCAGCTTCTCACAATGAAACTATAAGATGATAAGTGGTCACATAAATTGTAATCAATTCAATTCATTAAAGATTCAATCATGAGAAATAGTCAAGCATAATTATTGTACATGTATGATTTCTATGTTGTATGTCAAAGAGCTCAGGACATTACTTATTGAACAGCCTTCCACTTCGTAATGTCATGTAACACAAATACTTCCGCTGATAGTTATAATATCACAATGATGGCACTAATGAAATTCTACAATATTTCATCATTTGTTGAGAATTCTTTTCTCCTCTTTCCTTTCTTCTCCCCGCTATCTATTTTCTAATTTTGTTTTAAATATTGATTCTTTAATATATTTTGATTTTAGATTTTGCTGATGTCATTTACTATTGCTCTTTTGAAAAGTATTCATGGAAAAGTACATGCAGTGTTCAAACATCAAATTGGCCTTTGAACCGAAACTCTGTAAGTGCATTGCAACTCTTTGTAGAATCAAAACATATATGATAATTGATGTTATATTAGGTATCCAAAAATGTGTATTTGCTTTCCAAAAAGAAAGAAAAATGTTTTTTTTCTAAAGTAACAATTTTAAACGAACTTATAACAAACATAACATCCTGAAGGGGATTTTTTTTCTAATAGAAGGTACACCCGTTTTTCAGTATGACGAAAATAATTGATTATAATAAAATATACTATTGGTACAGAAAATATACGAATATATTGGGAAAATCTTATACTGAAAATACAAAGTCACGCATAATCAAATTTATATAGAAGCTTATACTCATACATGTAGAATAGATTCAATTTTATTCAAATAGTGATCAGGCACATTAGGTTACTTCGTATTAAAGATATACATGTACAAATGAAAAAAGAGAAAACAATGTAAATCTTTCCCAAGAACAATAATTAAAGAATAACTGAGTAGAATGGGGAAAAAAATCATTAAAGATCTAATGCATCTTTATGTCTTCCTTGTATATATAATTACTTCATTTCCATACATCTTAGACCCTTTAATTTGTTACCTTGTTTAGAAACTTGCAAAAAGACGAATCTAAAACTTGATTAAATCATCCTAAAAATTGAATGTTTGTTAAGTCAACATTGCACATAAATTTAACTATAGGTATAATTGTTTCTTGTTTAATTGTTGTAGGACGGAGGAATCTGTAGATATCTGATGGTAAAATTGCTTTTAGAGACATTTATTTTGGGGGATAACCTTTATAGAAAGATTTTGTGGGAAAATTAACATGATTTAAGATGATATAAATTACATTTTTTTTAAATGAAGATTAAAGGTACTTTTTGCAATGTGCATAGTAGATATAATTCACATGCACTCAAATGAATGTTATGCTTCTTTTTAAATTTTATATAAAAAAAAAAACAAGTGAAATTAATGAGATGAAATTAAATACAAAACTCTAAAGATGATTAATTTTTATATTGGCAAAATCAGACATAAATTTGATGAACTAATAATAATGTTAATGTTTTCACTGTTTTAGAGCAGAGGAATATATCCTTTTCAAACGGTAAAAAAGCGCTAAAAGTCATTAACCAATGTTAAATAACCGATTTAAAAGAATATATGTTTTTTTCATAAAACAGGATTTAAAATTATGAAAATATTTGTATACTTAAGAAAATCAAATAATTTTTTGTAGAGCTGTTCATATTGCAAAAATAATTCATTTTTAATGTAATTTTTCAATATTTTCTTGAGCTTGCGATGTAGATAATTTACAGAAAAAAATTTAAAGTTGAATTACAGTAAAGTTAAATTCCTGTTAAAATTGATGAAGAAAATAACTTTATACATGCATTGTACTCAATGTTTTAGGACAGAATGAGATGGCTTCATTTTGATCCAATGGTAAACAGATTTTGAAGATATTAAGTAGATGGTTTAGGATAACTTATAGGGGAAAACTTTATTTCAAATTAATATGGTTTTTCATATTTTGAAATTAACATGATTTTAAACTATTCAAATTTGAATCGCAGAAAAAATAACATTTTATGCAATTGGCTTTACTTTGTAATAATTTTTGTTTAAATTTTTGTTTAATTTTTGTTTTCATTTTTCTCTATTTGTTCACTCTTCTATGAACTTATGAAATGTATGCCGTATACATATAGGCACGTAGGTGGAATTTTTAGTGAAACACAAATTTAGCGATTTAGTCTTTAAAAAAGCTTCTTTTCATTAGTGATAAGTTATTTCAATAATTTAATAATTGCTAGAAAGGCAATATAACTTTTAATGCAGTTTAATTACTAAAGATATAATTAATTTTAACTTTTGCAACAAGCATGTTATACTAACAATAAATAAATTCGTACTAAATATTTTATTAATACGATTACAACATATCCATTAGATTTCATTTAGCTTTTCAATCATTATTTTACATTCACTCAAAGGAGACTGTACATGTACACCCCGTATTTTTTTGTTTTCACTTCTCTGCATAACTTTTCAATGTAGAAAAAAGCTAATATTGATAATATTATGAATTATAATATATATTATGAATCTTTTATACAAAGAACGAAAATATTTACAACCATTATTAAAATGCATTTTATCTTGAAAACTTTTTCTTTTTTCATAATGATTCAGTTTGGCACGAAAAATTACATACAAAGAAGACTGGATACTGAATTTAAATTAAAGTCCTTTTAAATGTATGAAATTGTGACAATCAAAACTTTCTGCAGAATTTATTTTGGTCGAAAATTTTATAATTAAAAACAAATAATGTGATATTTGTTGGGTTCGAACCCAACAATAAAATACAGACTTAGAATCATTTTTCCCCTTCAGGACTCGTTTATCACCACAGTATATCGCTGATATCAACAACGACATTTGATTTCTAGTTGGAGATATGATCCTTGACTATTTTGTCAAGGATCATATCTCACACTAAAAGTTTGCGATTAGTTTAAGACTAAATGAACAAATATGTTTTCTTAAAGATACGAGTGTTATGTCATAAAAATTAAATTTGGGGAATAGTGGGGCAATGCTCTTTTAGTTAACCAAAGAATGTTTACAATAATTTTGCATACTATGAAAGGAATAATGAGAATAGGAATAGTTATCTAGCTCAAATACAATCTTTCAAAGAAATACTGCTAAGACGCACCCGTATGAAAAATAAATGTGGAATTTTATAAATAATTTATTATTTTGTTCTTTTTGGTTTCATTGGTGTATGTATGCTATTTCATAGATGGTTTGCGGTTTGTTTTACGTATGCTTTAAGTATATGTTAATGTTCAGTGAATTATAGAAAATGTCATACTTGAAATTTGTTTTACTTCTTTTTATACAAATTAGGTAATTTTCTTATTCATCTGTCGTCTTACTACATGAAAAAAAATTCTGTATTTTCTATAAAAAAAATAAAAGAAATGTCTCTCTGTTTAATAATTTACATTTTCTTTTTATAGTATTCATCAACTTACGGCTGGAAACCAAGCAGCGGAACCGATGACTTAAATTACCTTTATCTGGATACGAAACCTTATTACTTGTCAGCTGATAGCTATTTTACTGAAATGAATATAACATTAAATATAAAACGTAAGTGCCTTCATCAACATATACATGTGTATTAAGAAAAATCACTGATCTTCAATCTTCACTCTTTATATCAATTGACTCCACAGAGTCATTTTCCACTATAAAATATTGTAATAAAATTTCCATAATGATTGTTTTAGGGTTTTAATGTGTAATGGTAGTTGAAATAAAAGTGGAAGTTCTGTTTCATGGATGCAGCATAATCAACCATATTTAATAAAATAAAATTATGGACTCTTTCGGAGGTGAATGTGATATGTTATTTACCAGAAAAAATATGAATATTGACTGAGTTGAAACCAATTTTGAAATTTTTGGTAAATAACAAACGATATTCACCGCCGAGAGTATAATAGTTTTCATCGTATAATTGCCCCCTTTTGTCGAATCTCGATGGGGCGACAAAATAAGCTATAGCCACTGTAGATTCAATTCTAGGCTGTAAAGATTCAAGCTTCTTCAAATCTTGAACTCAAGGGTATGTAAATGCCACAACGGGTAACAATTTATTTTCATAGTAGCAAAAAAATCTAAGAACAACAAAGCCGAGGTAAGACATTTTTACATGGAAGCATATCCTCAGGTAGCGTAGTGTAGGAATTTTGTTTTCATAAGAACGGGTTTACCTAATCAGTCATATCTTTGTGGAAACTACCTCGGGTATCGTAGATTTAATTTTGTTCAAATCTTCCAGGGGGGAGAGTGGGACCACTGCATGTAATTAAGGTTTTGCATTAGAAACTAATTATGGGACTATCTTGGTTATATTGACTCAGGTGAGCTGTATTGCCCCTCTGCATTTTGTTTGCTTAGAGTTGCTATAATAACGAGGGTTACTTTTGAGAAATGAAAAGTACTTAGTATACTTCAAATGAACAGGTCAATTATACACAGGTGTAAGTTATACATGTACATACATGTTCATATAAGATATAATTTTACACTTATAATGCTTAGTCATGTGTTTTTATATAACCCTAACAATATATTTTTACATTTTGTCTATAGGAAAGCAGTTTTGTCTTTACTTTGACTACTTCCTTTATGGTCGAGGGTCAATAAGGGTCTCTACAATAGACAACTCGTTCTTGGAATCTTCTGTAGCAGTTCTGTCTGGGTCGCAGGAAAACTGGACAAGCAAAGACACGCAGATAAATGGGTCAAAACCTATACGCATGGTTAGATTTTCATAATATTAATTAAAAAAAAAACATGAAATACGCTCATAACGAAGTGCCAGGGACAAAACCAATTTCTCGTCATATTTGTATCTCGTTATATCCTTAAAGTCGCAATTTTTCTGAAATTAATATACAAATATGATTATACGAGGGTTGTCCGTAAAATTCGGATTGATAATAACTGGTAAAATGTATGAAACTATGTTTTCATTAAATTCATATTTTATTTTAAACACATGCAAGTTTTCAAAAAAACAAAACACAAATAGTCATATTCAAAAAGTAAAATAAAACAAAAATTCTTGACGTTTCCCGACGCCAAAAGCTAAATAAGAGCAATGGTATTTTGTAATAGTCAAAGAAAACATTTCTTATGTCGGTTTAACCAGTCATAAAAATGTACACAAAATGTTAAGGTTTCATTCGTAAAATAATATTTAGCAATGCCTGTCTCATATCCTGCGATCGTCCAACTTTTGTCCGTGTTTATTTACGGCAAAGTCATGATCACCTTACGAAATTCATTTTTTACAGCACTGCAATCTCGGAATGATAGTTTTCCTTCACGCATGTCATCCTTTAAACTGTTCATACCGTCCGAAAATATTATATGCAACTTAAATACAAGTGTTTACAGAATATATTGGTCTCTGTAGGTGTTTTTGCGATGTCTACGCAGAATTTTATTACTGCTCACTGCTCCACCTATTCTGAAAATGTCCCTTTTTTTAACAATTCCGATCCTTTATTAATATGTTCTAACTTTGATTGCTCAGCCATTTTGAAAGTTTAAAGGTTCAAATTTTGCAAGTTTGACATGTAAACGTCTGTCAACTCCATAATGTAAAATTTTCCAGATTTCCCCAGAATTTTATAAAATACAAATGAAATTTATAAAGTGATAAATATTTTTTTTCAATCAAAATTTTGCAGTGCTCCGGGTCTCCATTCCTAGTCTAATTATGAAACCATTATTGTAATTAAACATTTGAAATTGAATAAAATTTTACATTTTCCATTCACATTTAGTAAAGGATTAGAAATATGCCAATGATAAATTACAATGACAAAACCTTTATTAATTTTTTAGCTTGTCCACGAATTTTACGGACAACCCTCGCAATATTTAATGGTAAAATGAATGTTTTGCTCTTGGAAACCGGAAATAAAGTCAGATCAAAAAGTAAAATAGTTAGGAGGTACAAAATGGTATTTTGTAACAAAGAATCTTTGAAAGTATCATTGAATTTTATTCAGTGGTATAGGAGGAGATGTGGATAAGAAATGAGTTTTCTTCGATGTTATGGGAAAAAATAGAAATGTGTATGTTTTGTTATGGGAAACCCGAAATATACTTCTGATCAAAAAGCAAAATATGAGCTGCACAATGGTACTATGTAACAAAGAATCTGTGAAAGTCTAATTTAATATCATTCAGTGGTACATGTATAGGAGTACCTCTCTCTCAGTTTTTTGACATTATAATCTCTAGTTTGATCCAATTTTACAAAAGAAATTTAAACTATCTAAAGCTTTTGTTAGCTTCAATAACTTGTTTAACTTTTATTGGCTTAATTCTGCTGGTAAAAATTATATGATAATTTGGTAAGATACATTGTACTTCATAGCATTCCAATTCTAGTGTCCAATGTCCCCAGTAAAAAAATCTATTAAGATTGTATCACCTCCAAACGAATAGACTGTTACGATAGATCAGCCGTTCCGTGATGGAAAACTGTGGGTTTGAACCCGGCCCTTTAATTGACTTAGTCAGTTAAAAAGGAAGCAATTGTTCCTTCGTCAAGCATTTGTAACTTTATAGTGAAAGTTGTGGTCCTTCGGATGAGATCTTAAAATCCAAGGCCTTTCGTCAGGACAGGCGTTGGCACAGTAAAGATCCCTCATTGTTTATTGGCACCGAGTTATAATTGCAAGTAAGGTCTAATTTTGAAGCCATTAACTGGTACATTTTGACCCCTCTATATGATTGAAAAATCATCGAATGGGATGTAAAACAACACACTATCATTCAATCAATATAAAGGATTAGTCATGTAATAACAAAGCAAATAAACAAGCTTTCTAATGATGTGAAATATTTTATTTTATATTCAGATTAAAATCAGGATGGAGGAGAGGACTGCCATTGACAGAATTATCATTGCAGGGTCCAGTTGTGGTGAGAAACACTTGCTTTATAGATTGATTAAGTTTGAGTAAGGTTTAAGAACAATAAAAAAGAAAGTATGAAAATTGTTACATTTATTAAATATACTAGACTAGTATAATCATATATCTTTTGTGTTTGACTTATTAGTTTGTTCAAACTGGACGTTTGGTCGAAACTGTGACAAATGTGCCTGTGTCAGGATGCACACAGAGTCCTGTGACAAAACTACCGGGGCCTGTCACTGTAAGGTTGGGTATACTGGGGACGCCTGTCAGTGCGAAGCTAATGGAAAACCCTGTCTCCATGGTAAATCTGTTATTTCAAGCTGTGTGAATTTCATTTTCTATTAAGCAAAATGTGTTCTTTTTCTAAAATAAAAAGCTATTGATTAAAACTTTGTTATGATATAGATAATAAAAATATATAATAACTACACATGTTTGCTCTGCTGCTATTTTGTATTGTTTTATGGACTTCTGATTTTGAATAATGTTCGTTAATCTTCGTATGTTTCATTGAAACTTTTACATTTTAAAGTGTAATTTATTTGGATAAACAGTCGTTTAAATTGGATTGGATTGACTTGAAAAGAAGAGTTTTATTACAGTAAATCCTCTTTATATATCAGACGTAAGATTGGTGAATGGAAACACAACAAACATGGGCAGAGTAGAAGTGGTCACTGAAGGCATATGGTCCACAGTATGTGACGGAAACTGGGATGATAATGACGCAACAGTCGTCTGCAAACAACTAGGACTCGGAAAGTCAGTTTCATATTTTTTACAGGAATCAATATCATTTATTGAAGCAAGGGAAATATTTCATATTTCTCCCCTATGTTATAGCTACGGTATTGCAATGAATAATGCTGAATTTGGGAAAGGGTTTGGTCCTATCCATGTCGACAAGGTTGATTGTAAGGGAGATGAAGAGGATTTGTTATCATGTCAGTTTTCTCGATCTTCATGTGACCACTCCGATGATTCTGGGGTAGTGTGTGGTAAGTTATGTTCTTTTTTAAATTTCTATTTTTTTTTTATTACGAGGGTTGATCCAAGAGTAATGTCACAGTGTCCATTCCATTTATATTTGGCGTCATATTATGAAATGCAATATACCAAAAGAAGCACAAATATAAATCTAATTTACAATGAAATAATAATTTAATAATGTTTACTAAATTATTTTATAGCATGTTTAAAACATAGAATATCAACGGAGTCACGTTTTAAAGTGTATTTTTTTTCTTGTGAATTAAAAGACAAACACATTAAACAGATTTTAAAAAAGGTCCCATGTATTTATCAACTTTTTAAAAGACACAGATGTCATTTTCTAGTCAAATTTGCAAATTAAATGAATTATTATATTTTACATTGAGTAAATTTCTGTGCGACTATGTCAATACGTTTTTCATACCAATTGTTAGTCCATTATTTATACACGACGGATTTTTTTCCTGTTATTTCCTGATCATGACAACGATTTTGGCGGGTGTGACCGGTCAGCAGAACTCCTCCATGGCACCTGATCCCACCTCTGAAAGTTTCGGAGGATCCGTGTTTGCTCTGCTCTTAATATTGTTTAATGGACTTTGATTGAATACTTGTCGTATAGAGTGACATGTGAATTTTAAGTTTGTCTTATGCTACAGTTCAAAAAAAAAAGTTTGACAGAGGGCTTATTTATGAAAAGAATCAGGGTATATTGCTACCAAGAATTCTTAAAGAAAGTGGAATTGGTGAAAGTGTTTACGAATCACAAATATTTTTTTAATGAAACAAAGGGGAAACGCTTAAAAGTATGATGGTGCGACATATGACGTTATATTTAGGTGCGAGACTACCAAGACGATTTGTTTAAAATCATATTTTGGAAAGTATACGTCATATTCCTTTGAATTTTTCAGGTCTGATTTGAAATAAATAAAGCTTTCATCATGTATAATTTTGTTGCTTTGTGTGTCGATTTATAGCAATTTTATCAAAGTTGTGACATTTCTTTTTTTCAACCCTATTTTGAAGTCATTTAAGAAAGACGATCAATTGAATGGTTCGTACAACTTCAGTTAATGCTTCGAGTATAATCCGTCTGAGAGATGGTACCGATCGGACCAATGGTCGTCTAGAGATCAAACTGGATGACGGTGGATCTTGGGGTACAGTCTGTGACGACGGCTTCGGAGAATCGGATGCTAGAGTAGCATGCCGACAGTTAGGTCTACCCACGTAAGGAAAAAAATATTTTCTCTAATTAGTATTCAAAAGATAAAGGGATGGATAATTATTTCATATAAGAAACATTTGAAAGATCTTAAGAGTTATCTCTATATTTGAGTGAAGAAAAAGTGAATTTTATTTGTTATGCAAACAAGGGTTCTTCCACGTCCAAACTGATAATAAAAATTTCTTGAGTGCGATATATTAATTATGCCTCCCGTTTTTTAATGTAAGGACGGGACATATGAGTTCTACACCCATATGTTATGAGCTAGGTGGGATATATATTTAATTCTATATCAACATAATGAGTTGTAATTGATATATCCATTTTGCATCAACATTGAATAAAAAAATATTTCAATCTTTATCCTGGGTTGTTGGCAATGGAAAAAAATTATAATGTTTTTTTTTTATTTTTATATGTAGTCATAGAAGGGAATATGTACATATACTAAATATTCCAAAACACATTGATAAAGGACTCCAGTACATACATTTTAAACAGGTTAAGTGCAAACAAAAAACTATTTTCAGAATATCAATAAAAAACTTCCTCTTTCCCTTCCTCCTTCCTTCACTTTCAATGCGTTTGACTCACGTTTAATGTGACCCATTTAAGGGGCATGCTTACTCCTCCTTTGCACCTGATCCCAAAACTGGAATTTCAGGAGGTCCTTGTTTATGTCTATTTTACATATCTGTATTGTTTTTCGGTTTTTAAAAGATCGATCACTTTATTATCTTCATTTTAGCTCACCTGAGCCAAAGGCTCAAGTGAGCTTTTCTGATCACAATTTGTCCGTTGTCTGTCGTTGTCTGTCGTTGTCGTCGTTGTCGTTGTTGTCGGCGTTGTCGTTGTTGTAAACTTTTCACATTTTCATCTTCTTCTCAAGAACCAATGGGCCAATTTCAACCAAACTTGCCATAAGGTATCCTTAGGTAAAGGGGATTCAGGTTTGTTCAAATGAAGGGCCATGTCCATTTTCAAGGGGAAATAATAAGGAATTAGTGAAAAAGTAATGGTGTATTTTAAAAATCTTCTTCTCAAGAACCACTTGGCCAAGAAAGATGAAACTTACAGTGAAGTACCCTCAGGTGGTGTAGATTCAAGTTTGTTCAAATCAAGACCCCTGGGGCAAGGGAGGTACCGTAATGGATGAGTAAATTTTACATAAGAATACATCAGAAAACCTTTAAAATTTAAAGATCTTCTTTCCCAGATCTCATAGGCAACAGAGCTGTGAGACATTACATTATTGTGCAAGTAACTTTATGTAGTGTACATTCAATTTTGTCTAGTTTGTGGCCGTACGAAATTATACATGTATCAACAGATTAGGTTTACCTTTATTTTTTTTTCGATCGGGCGCGGTGTACCAAATAAATGAAAACGAGGCACGTCAGCCATTTTTGATGTGGACGGCGAAGAAGTGACCGAAGTAAAGTGAAATTTAGTGTTTACACGGATCTGAAACAAAAGTATTCATTGTAGATTGTTGTTTTCATTCTGTAAGGTTTGAAGAGTAAAGGATTTAGTTGAACAATTACAACATGGCGTATATTTGTTCATGCAGCATTAATTTGTTATTATGCAGTGTTTAGACGCAACGATCATACTGCGCAGTTGAAGTCTCTCGGAGAAAAGTCACACGGAGAAAACAAGTCCATTTTGGTACTGCTACACTTTACTAGTGTTAAAGAAGATTGAGAAGATGATCTATTTTTAAAATTTACTTAGTAGAACGAAGTGTAATAGTTAGTAATTGCATAACATAAATAGACGAATTTTACATTTTTTTTTTACATTCTAAGAGTTTCTCCCTTTGTCGGCGTAACGCTCCTTTTCCCACTGTCTTTGTCCTTTGTAAGTTACTTTAATATTTTTAATCTTCAAACGTTATCAGACAATTTCGATCTGTACCTGTATTGCCAGAGTATGGGGTAACATGTAAATTATGAACATATTCATACAGATTTCATTACTAAGATACTGACCTATAAAGACTAAAGTTGGTAAGGTTATAGAGGGAAAACAGTACCTTACGCCGGTTGACCCTGGATAGTCCCATCAAAGGGGAATAAGTTTTGAAAGTGTGAAAGTCGTCTACAGGGACAACTCTTGCATATATAGGTACACCTGTCATGACTCATCAGTACATGTTTATAAAGGATAACTTATTGTTAGTAAAAGTATCAGTACAAGTGTTTATTGAAGTTTGCAGAAAGGAAACTCCTAGTGATTTTGTGTCAATCGCGGAGACAAGGAATATCACCTGCATGGGTTCCTGACAATTGGCTAAAATAAAGCTTAGTAGTGTGTGTAAAATGCTAAAAAAAAGACAACAGTAGAATAAAAGACTACAGATCTACATGCAGTTCATTATTGTTTTATGGGCATTTTTTATTAAAATAATTGAAAGTTGGAAATAATATTTTGTTAACTTTAAACAATATATCATGATTATTGGTATATTGAAACGGAATATGGGAATTGATATTTAAAAAAAATGCATTCAATGGGTATATTAATGATATTAGTCCCATCTTTCATTAGAATGGCTACATGTATTTATTTCTTGGGATTACAAGGTTTAAAAGTAGTTATCCAGAAATAAGACTTGTATTTTTCATTAATATGTTTTACAGTGTGACCGTTTGGGCGAGTGCACTTGTACCTCAAAAAATACACCTGAAATGTTGATCTGCCACTTCAAACGTCAAGTCGCATTAGACATCTAGATTATTACGTCACTGAGAGATCGGCAGGGTTAACGGAAACAGCAAAGTTTCTAGTTGAGACTAATAGACCTAGTGCAATTTTTGTTGAAAGACATTGCAGAGTTATTTTTTGTTTCTTTTTAAGATTTCTACATACTGAAAGTCTTTTATGCCTTATGTTATTATTTATTTGCGCAAAGGGTATTGGGTAGCAAAGGAATTCTGGGAAGGTGTCACAACAAAATTTACTTGACATATGTACAGATTCCATTCCGAATTTCCTCTGTTCTTACACGTTAGCCTATTGAGTTCACTTTGCGACCTTTGCTGCGTTCGCTCCAATTACATTTACAGATTGTCTAGACTAAAAATGTTTTCTTTTGTATAGTAAAACCTTGCACTGGCTTGCAGTATTGTCCATTTTCTGTTATTAGTTTGACCCAATATTTAATCTTGTCGGCATAAAATTTAATCCAAAATTTAGTGTTCATTTAAGGCCTTGATATTGTTTCAACCATTTTTGACCTAGAAGGTTATCATATTTGACAGAGTTCAAGTATTCATAAAATGTTTTTCTTGCATTTATCAAGTTCCTTATATGTTTCTTAGCTTTAATTGTGACCCATATGGGACCTGTAAATTTTAGCACACTCTTTATTCTAGCTCCATATGTTCAAAAGTTAAGACCAAGATTAAAGTATGGTATTTTTTTAGTAAAAAGTAGGTCAAACTCCAAGGTCAAGAGGTCAAATTCGGTGGTGCTCAAAGAAAGGTCTTGTCACAAGAAATACACCTGAAATGTGAAAGCCATAGTGTGTGAGGAGCCACTCAAAGGTTGTAGGCAAGGTTTAAGTTTTTGTGGACACAAAAACAATATATACTCCGAAAACTTACAGACTTAATGATGATAAAAGTGATGTAATTCAAAGGAATTGATTTTATTTCAAAAGAAATTTCAAGGTATTAAATGCTACCAAATTATAACACATGCTATAGGAATATTTAGAGGAAATGGCTCTAAAAGGTTTTGACCAAAATAGCAAGGCAGATGTGGGTGACAAGTACCCCACAGATGTTGGCCACGTCCAACCATCTGTGCCTCTGGGTGTAGGCCACGTCCTAACACCTTTGACATCTGTACCGGCAGGGGTGATATCTACCACCCCCGTGACAGTGGTCTCTGCGGCTCTCCCTGAGACCACTTTGACTCAAACTATGCCTCTGGCTCAAACTATACCTCAAATGTTGCCTCTGGCTCAAACTATGCCTCAAATGTTGCCTCTGGCTCAAACTATGCCTCAAACGTTGCCTCTGGCTCAAACTATGCCTCAAATGTTGCCTTCGGCTCAAACGTTGCCTCAAATGTTGCCTCTGGCTCAAACGTTGCCTCAAAAGTTGCCTCAAATGTTGTCTCAAATGATTACTCAGAATTCCTCTCAGTTTCTTACTCAGAATATCTCTCAGATTACAACTCAGAATATTACTCCGTTTACAATGAACAATAAACCAAATGAAACAACACATGCACTGCAAGGTAATTGTATGCATCGGAATTCAGATAATCTGGTGTTTGGATCTTTCCATCAGGGAAGCATGAGGTTTTCATCATTTTCAAGAGGTAATCAGTGTACATGCAATTCACTTCTGAAGTTGTCAAATTCATATGAAAATTTTTCATTTACTAGTTTCTTTTTAGATCAGACTCTGCTCAAGGGAGATAATTTGTACAACACAGTTGTGAAGAATCTTCAGAGTGCTGGAAAACTTAAAAGTAGATTACTGATGTTTGATGAATTACCAATTCATATTGATTCTGGTGAAAATCACCACATGGTTGATAAGTATGATACATTGTTTGGCTTATTAGTTACAGATGATAAGAGAAATCAAATTCAAACTCTACATGAATGTCTGCAACAAGCATTGGGGTTATCTAGGTATGTATTAATAATGATTGGCTCAATATGTTCTGCACTGTACAAAGATTCAGACAATGATTTTTATTTCTTTTACTCGCATTCTCATGGGGAAAATGGTTTGTCTGAATGTGATGGAAAGTCTTTGATGAGACCGACACAGTTGCTGCTTAGATGATTTGTTAGGATTTCTGTATGCAATGTATGAAAGGATGCACATTGAATTTGCAACTGAATTTGAAGTGATGCCTGTTTCCTTTCGAACACTTATTCATAGCTTCCCTAGTAATAATCAAAGTACACATCAATATTGTAGATTAGATCAGTTAACAACAACTGCTCTCACAAACAAACAATCTGTTGGTACCAATA